CATCTGGGGAGGGGAAAGCAGGGTGGGAAGCCCGCTTGTCAAGGTCACCCCTTTGGAGTGTGAGAGGTTGTGCCAAAAGGAGGGCTCAGACGCCGCTAGGAGAAAAATTCCCTTTCTAGTCTGAGCAGTCCCACCTGTGGCAGCCAGGACCACGGGGACCTGGGTGGCTGGCGGAGGATGCCCCCTGACATCAGTTGCTGTACCCAAGTTTACCTAAGAGGCGCCTGCGAGTCAAGGCAAAGCAGCAGGCCACAGGCTCCCCCGGGGTTAGGTGAGGATGCAGGATGGCCGCAGAGACACCTAGAAACCCTCGTGCTTCCGAGCTCTGAGCTCAGCAGCATACCACAGATACTGCGACCAAAGCGAATCCAGAGATGTGAGTGGGCGATTTCAGTTGCTGTTCTCTACAGGCAGGCAGATTTTATTTCCCTCCTTTTTATCTCTGCCCCCTGTTAATAGTTTAGAAAAGTGTCTGGAAAGACTCACCCAAGGTCATATCTACTTAGCTCTTCTAATCCAGTGTCCTTGCCCCGTTTCTGGGTGGAGTAACAAGTGAGGAACTGGTGGGCTGGTAGCCAAGGACAGAGGCTGGGCAAAGGGTGGAAGCGTCCAGGAGATAAAGCTTGGCGCCCCGCACTACCTACTGTTCTCTGTGATTTTGGAATGCTAACAAGGAAGCAGCCTGCTACCAGGAGAATCCCTGGAGTGAAGAGGTGCTTCTCCCATTGGTGGTTAGGGCAGATCCTGCCCTGCGTCTTTCTAACTTGGACACAGCAGCAGCCATGTAAAAGGGTTGCTGATGCTTAGTGGAAGTGATCTTGGTATTTGTGTCCTGGCTCTGCTCTAGTTTGTATGGCCTTTTCAAAAGGAGGAAGGCTTTGGACATGAAATCCTGATGCAAGGAGATGGATGGCCTGTTGTACACTCACATTATGTAGGAGAGGCTAGAAAAAGGAAAGTGCTGGTAAAGGAAGCCATTTTCTTCAGCTCTGTGGCATGAAGTACTGTACAGGGCTCAGGACGAAGGTAATTCCTCTGTTCTCTGGGTAAGATGATTATACGTTGAACTTGTACTTACTGGAAAATAAGAGACCCCCATTTCAGTCTTAAATATTGGTAGGGTTGTTTTAGAAAATCAGGTAAGACCGCACACGTTGCTGCATGCCTGTAATTTTTCAGCACCCAGGGAGCTGAGACGGGAGGATCTAGACCATGGGCTGATTGTGACCACAGCAAGGCCGGCGCAAAGAGAAAGGCTGGGTGGTGGTGGTGAACACCTTTAAGGACAGCCAAAGCTAGTCAGAGAAACCTTGTCTGGAAAAACAGAGAGAGGGGGAGAGAGAGAGAGCAATGCAAAATTTTATTATCTCCCAAAGGTATCACAAATGATTAAAGAATGAAAGACTAAAAGCAAAAACAGAATGAAGAGGACTGTGGATAATATAGTAACACAAAGCTAGTGAGACTTTCTCCTCTCAGCCTTAGGCTGGGAGAAAATGGTGTCCACACTTCATGTCCATTGTACCCCTGGCTATCCTTTGGTTTAAATGGCAAGCTAAAGGAAGTGTATAAGCTTCTGGTCCTGAGGCATTCTTCTTGTCAGAGTGCTATGTGGGGACCAGTTTGGCCTTGGGGACTATCTGTATCCAAAGAGTGAGGCTCTTGTTGCAAGAGGAAATGATTGCAGTGAAACAGCCTGTAGCTTTTCATCTTGGGAGGTGAGACTTGTTCTGTATCTGAGTGACTCAGCCTTTTGTTGGGGAGACCTTCCTCTTCTGGGTGGGTAAGGAGGTGGTAAAGGATGCGAAGGGTAGGCAGTTTTCAGGGCCTCATTCAGAGGCTGAGGGGGAGGGCTGGCTTTCTCTTTTGGGGGATGGTGGTTTTCCTGGTGATTAATCTTCCCTTCCCCCCAATAGTTGGTCTCAGTAGCCTCATTGTCAGTTGGGTGACTAGCAGGAAAGTTTACTTCACATTTTGTTTATTACTGTTGCTAATTTCAATATGAAGCAGTGCCCAGAAAAGTTTGTGGTTGATTTTGAAGGGACCTTGTGTGCTAGAGAAAACAGGAGTGTTTCTTGGCATAAGGAAAGGGACAGCTCCTTAATTCACAATTTTAAAGACAAGCCACGCTAGCCTTGAATTTAAGATCACCCGGGTTCCATCTGCTTAGTGAATGAGCCACCATGCCGGCTCCTATCTTTTTTTTTTTTTAAAAACTAATCTGTTAAAAATGGGTTCATAGGATTGTAACCTAGTAGTATTCTTTTTTTTTTTTTTTTTTTTTTTTTTTTTTTTTTTTTTGAGATAGGGTTTCTGTGTGTAGCCCTGGCTGTCCTGGAACTCCCTCTGTAGGACTAGGCTGGCTTTAAACTCACAGAGATCCACCTGCCTCTGCCTACCAAGTGCTTGGATTAAAGGCCTGTGCCACCACCAACTGGATCCTTTAAATTTTTTAAAGTCATTCAGTGTGTGTGTGTGTGTGTGTGTGTGTGTGTTGGCACGTGCACATGTCACAGGGTGCATGTGTGGAGGTCAGTGCAACTTGTAGTCAGCACTCTTCCACTATGTGTGTTCTAGGGATTGAACTTGGATGACCAAGACCATCTTTTTTCTCTCAAATGAAACATTCAAAATATGCTTCAGTGTAACATTCTAAGTGTTAGAATAAGCTGCACCGCCCTCAGATTAGTTAGTTAACCATATAGTTAGGAATTATAGAGACCCACCTGTGCTGCCTCTCTGCTCTCTCGCACTGGGGTTAAAGGTGTGTGCCACCAAACCTTGCTCATTTGATACTTCTTCATTTCTAGATGCTGGCTATGAATTCGACATCTGCTTCACCTCCGTGCAGAAGAGAGCAATCCGGACCCTCTGGACAGTCTTGGATGCCATTGACCAGATGTGGCTGCCAGTGGTCAGGACCTGGCGCCTCAATGAGCGACACTATGGGGGTCTGACTGGTCTCAATAAAGCCGAAACTGCTGCTAAGCATGGTGAGGCGCAGGTAAAGATCTGGAGGCGATCTTACGATGTCCCACCACCTCCAATGGAGCCTGATCATCCCTTCTACAGCAACATCAGTAAGGTATGGTCACACCAGCTGGGGTCACCCAGTCAGCACCAGGGGTTTATGTGAGTGGGTGCTTTGCCTGTGTGATTTTGTGTGTGCACTCCATGCGTGCCTGGTGCCTTTGGAGGTCAGAAGACGACACCGGTTCTTCCGTCTGGTGCTAGAGATGATTCTGAGCCTCCGTGAGTGCTGAGAACCAAACCTGAGTCCTAGAAGAGCAAGTGCTCTTCACTGCTGAGCCACCTCCAGCCCCTGGGCCTCTTTTTTGTGTCTACCTAATGTCATTAATCTTATAGTTTATGGTAGAATAACGTAATTCCCCTTTGTTAAGTAGTGGCCCTCACTTGTTAGATTTAGTTGGAAGTTAATGATACTCATTTGAGAAGGGTGCCTCTTTCACATTTATGTGGAAAAAATCAACTGCAAACTAAAGTGAATTGGGAAACCTTGTTTCTAATTTACATGTGTTTGACTGGGGAGTAGGGATGGAGGGTGATGACTGGGGATCCTTTTTCTCAAGTTCTTACTTGTATTCTGGACCCTTGAGAAACCTTCACTACTGACTTAGTGCCTTAGGAGCTGAGATAGGTAGAGTTGGTACACATGGAAGCTCTTTTGAGGCAACTTGAAATACGTCTCTGTGGCTTAGGATCGCAGGTATGCAGACCTTACTGAGGACCAGCTACCCTCCTGCGAGAGCCTCAAGGACACTATTGCCAGAGCACTGCCTTTCTGGAATGAAGAAATTGTTCCCCAGATCAAGGAGGGGAAGAGAGTCCTGATTGCAGCCCATGGCAACAGCCTTCGGGGCATCGTCAAGCATCTGGAGGGTATGGCATTTTCTTACAGGGGTCCTTAAGGATGATAAGGTGGCCCACCTTAGTGTCTGAGTGGAACTGTCCCCAACCAGACTGACTTTGTAGCAAGCAGACCTCTGGGAAAGATATGACAGTGTAGATGGAACTAAGGAAAAAATTGTTTCTTCCTTTCTCAAAATATGGTCTGCCAGCTGGATGTGGCTTATACTCCAATCCTAGTACCAGGGAGCTGAAGCAGGACAATCAATCACTTTTGATTCTAGGTCAGCCAGGGCTGTATAGTGATTCCAAGTCATAGAAAGTGTGGTTGCAGAACAGCGACAGTGGGCCTCTCACACTCTGCTATACACAGGGTGACACTCAATTCAGAACTGTCGTGTGCTAAGTGATGATACACTTAAAGTTGTAGATGCTCACCTATTCTGGGAATACTAGTTGAAACTGTAGTCACAACGTGATTCAGTGTAAATCTCCATTGTTTCTTCCTTGGGGACCTAGGGAGCCCATAATGGGAATTTTTGGCAGATGGATAGATTGTAGGATGTCTGAAGCACACAGTCCTGCTCCACTATGGGTTTCTACATCCCACTTTGGTAGAGGTAACTGTAGTATAACCTTCTGCCGTTTGTTGGTGGCCCATCTTAGAATCTTCGTATAATTTCTCATTCTTTGGAGGCTTGAGAAGTTGTACCTGGGGGCTGTTCCTTGGGGGATTGGATCTATTAATACACTGGATTAGAAAAGACATCTTGTTCCCACATAATTGCTTTTCCATTGGTAGATGAAGAGTAAACCTCAAGGGATTTGTGTGTGGACTCTTGTCTGTGGCTAAACATGTATGGTGGCTCTTTTAGGGCTCTCAGAAGAGGCCATCATGGAGCTGAACCTGCCAACTGGCATTCCCATTGTCTATGAATTGGACAAGAACTTGAAGCCTGTCAAACCCATGCAGTTCCTGGGAGATGAAGAGACCGTGCGGAAAGCCATGGAAGCGGTGGCTGCTCAGGGCAAGGTCAAGAAGTGAAGGCGAGCAGGCAGACTCGTACCCCAGTGCCCTCCCCCTGCCTGTTTATGCCTCCTGCACCCTTCCCCAACGCCTGCCACACTGACTACATCTTTAGGATCTTAAGTTTAAGTTGTAGTTGCAGATGGGGACCTGTGGCTCCCATTTTTATTTAGTATTTAATCCCCTGCACCCACTCCCTTCATAGAACCTAGTCAGAAAACACCTCTGGGGTGCAGGTTCTTGGTCCACATCCAGGGACGGCTCCTCTTAACAGGAGAGTTGAGAGGTAGAAATTAGTTTTCCTTAGTGCTGTGTTTACTAAGGCTCTGCTTTAGGAAGAGGTCAGGGAGGAACCATGCAGTGGTATAACCCATGAGAAGCTGCAGCCAAGTTTTGTCCCTGGCGCCTGTCCTACACTTTCCACAGTTAGCTAACTAGGGGCTGTAGTCATTTCAGTGGAAGGTGAAAGTAACTTACATGGTGATGTAAACATACTACCTTCCTCTCTGACCCTAAAGGCCCCGGAAGGTTGGGACCAATCCTGTCAAGTCTGTGTTACATTTACTTTTACAAAAAAAGGTACATGTGTATTTATCAGCAGAAAAAAGCCCCTCTGCTGTTTCTAGTGGTGATTGAAATAGTTCCATGTGGTCACCAGACAATAAGCCATTCCTCATACCAGATGGGATGAACTCCTTGTCCTCGAGGGGCAGGAGTGCTTCTGGCTGTGTTAGGTCACTTCTGCCTTGCTTTGCAGAGGTGCAGTGCCCCTTGATCGGGTCCAGGTTTTGTCTTTCACTGAATCATGTTCCAGCTGCTTGGCCCTACCATGTGGGTTCAGAACTCGTTTTGGGCATAACTACTAAATCTCTTTCCAGATCAGTATAATAAAGGAGTGATGTGCAATATTTCACTGCCTGATGTGTTTGAAGTGCATGCACACTAAGACATGGAGGGTTTGGCTGAGAGGGGGAAAAACACTGGCTACTCTGATAGGATCCAACTCTCTTTACGGCCTTGGGCACAATGCACAAACATGCAGGGAAAACACCCATACACATTTATAAAAATACCTTTCACCCAGCTTTAAAGACAGCACGATTCATAACTAAAACTCCAGCCTTTTAAAGTAGGAAAGAAAACCAGTGTCAGTTGGATCTCCACTATGGGTTCTCAGTATAGATCATAACAGAATCACCTGTGGGGTGATTAAATTAAATGACTGGAGGGATGGCTCAGTGGTTAAGAGCATTTGTTGTTCCTGCATAGGACCCAGGTTCAACTTCCGGTATCCACATGGAGCACATACATACACCAGGCATTGGTGGCGCACGCCTTTAATCCCTGCACTCTGGAGGCAGAGGCAGGCAGATCTGAGTTCCAGGCCAGCCTGGTCTACGAAGTGAGTTTCAGGACAGGCTCCAAATCAATATAGAGACACCCTGTCTCGGGGGAAAAAAAAAAGCCATTAGTGGAACTGGCAAGATGGCTCAGTCGGCAGGTAAAGTACTTTGAATTAAGGCCTATTGAGTTCAATACAAACACGAAAAGATGGAAGGAAGGCAGAACTGATTCCACAAAACTGTCCCATGACCTCTACATATATGGTAGACCATGTGTACACATGTACACCCACATACAGGATACATAGAGCAATGGTGTGGTTTGAATGAAAATGGCCCCATAGGCTCATGTTTGAATACTTCGTCCCTAGTTGGTGGAATTGTTTAGGAAGGGTTACAGTGTGACCTTGGAGGAGGTATGTCTCTAGAGCTGTCCTTTAATTCCAGCACCAGAGTGGAATATAAGATCCTGTCTCAAAAAGCAGTGGATAACAGCTGCAGACAAATCATGCTGCTTAGGTAAACACGGCTTTCTAGTCTGTCTTTCCTTGCAGTGTTAGGGACTGAAACTACTCATACACAGCCAAGAGCAGCCGAGTGCTCTGTGTGAGTCCCCACTTTGTTCTATTCTGTCTTTATCCACACTTCTTGTTAAAGATGGAACCCAGAAAGGCTGAACCAATAGCTACATCCCTAGGCCTGCTTTTTGTGATGGCTTTTCTGACAAGGTTTCTCTGTGTAGCCTTGGCTATCCCAGAACTTCGTAGACTGAGCTGGCCTCAAACTTTTTTCTTGGGTTTTGGAGACAGTTTCTCTGTATAGCTTTGGAGCCTATCCTGGCACTTGCTATGGAGACCAGGCTGGCCTCGAACTCACAGAGATCCACCTGCCTCTGCCTCAGGAGTGCTGGGATTAAAGGTGTGTGCCACCAATGCCCGGAGGCCTCAAACTCTTATCTGCCTCTACTTCCCAAGTGTTGGGATTAAAGGTTTGAGCCACCACTGCCTAACCTAAACTGATTATTCTAATCCCTGGTTTGTACATCTGTAGGATATGGTAATGACTGTGACATTCCAGGGTCACCAAAGTTCAGAAATAAAGGAAAATGTAAAAGTGATGCCAAGAAATTTCATTCTTAGCACATTTCTGGTTGGTACTAGGAAAAAAAAAATCAAAATCCAAAGAGTTTTTAAATTTTAATTTTTTAAAGGGACAGGTCCTTGCTGTGTTTTAAGTTCACAAAATCCTTGCCTTAGCCTCCCAGGTAGCAAAAGCAGTGCACATTCTGAATCAACATTGTACATCAAAGAGAAAATTCTGGAAAAGAATCAGGAAGACACAAAGACAGACTAAGTTTCTTTTCCCTGCAAAAGTGAAGTTTTATCTAGTATTAAGCCTGGTATTTTTGTAGATGTAGATATACAACAAACACAATGATCTACCTACCATATTAGCATGCTCCGACAATTTTATGTTCTCCTTCAAAATAATCTTGGGATTCTAATGAAGAAACACTGAGGCAAAAACCTCTGATGGTCATCAGTGTCAACACCGAGTGTTGATACTTTGAGACAGGTTTCCTGTCATCCAGCTGGCTCTGAATTTATTGAGGATAACTTTAAAACTCCCTGCTCCTTGTTTTTTCCTTTCTTTTTTGAGACAAAGTCTTGTATAGCCCAGACTGACATAGAATTCTTTCATATATATATATATATGTGTATGGATATTTTGCCTCATGTACATATGTATACCATATGCATGCCTGGTGCCCACAGTAGAAGAGAGCTTTGGATCCTCTAGAACTAGTCACAGATGGTTGTGAGTCACCACATGGGTGCTGGGAACTGAACTTGGGTCCTCTGCAAGAGCAGCAAGTGCTCTTACACGTGCTGAGCCATCTCTCCAGCCCAATTCCCTCAACCCCCCTCTGCCCTGGTCTCATGATATAGACCAGCTGGCTTCCAATTCCAAGATCTGCCTGCCTCTGCCTCCTGAGTGCGGACATTAAAGCCTTGTAGCACCATGCCTGGCTATGTTTGCTTTTTTCCTTCCTCCTTTATTTACCACTGAGTCTCTAGCCCCATATCTTAAAATTTTGCAAGTGTCACCAGTGTGGGAAACTAGATCAAAGGTACAAAAGATCTTTCTATTTCCAATTCTGGGCTTGAATCCTAGGACCCTGAGTGTGCTGGGTCAAGCCCAGCAGCAAAGCAATGATAAGCACTTGTGAGGGCTTGAGTTTGATCCTCAGCAAAGACATCACAAACAAACAACTGCATATCGTCCAGTTCTGTCTAGTTTTATGACAACTTGACACAACATGAAAGGAGGGAACCTCAAGTGAGAAAAATGCCTTTATAAGACCCAGCTGTTGCCAGCTGGTGGTGGCGCACGCCTTTAATCCAGCACTTGGGAGGCAGAGGCAGTCTGATCTCTGAGTTTGAGACTAGCCTGGTCTACAAAGACCCAGCTGTAAGGGATTTTCTTAATTAGCGAATGGATGGAGGAGTGGCCAGCACATTGTGGGGCTATGTCTGGGCTGGTGACCCTGGGCTCTATAATAAAGCAGGCCATGGGGCTGGAGAGATGGCTCAGAGGTTAAGAGCACTGACTGCTCTTCCAGAGGTCCTGAGTTAAATTCCCAGCAGCCACATGATGGCTCCCAACCATCTGTTATGAGATCTGGTGCCCTCTGCTGGTGTGCAGATATACATGGAAGCAGAATGTTGTATACATAATAAATAAAAAAGAAAGCAGGCCATGATGAGCAAGCCAGTAAGAAGCACCCCTCCATGGCCTCTGCATCAGCTCCCCGCCTACCGGATGCTGCCAGGAGTCCCTGTCCTGACTTCCTGCTCCACAGCAGGAAGTGAAAGCTGAATTAACCCTTTCCTCCCCAATTGTTTTCTGGTCATGGGGTTTTGTCACAGCACCAGAAACATGAGACAGGCCTATCATTAATTCACTAAACATTTCAATTACGTAAACAAAAGTGGCTGGTGAGACGGCTCAGCAGGCCTTAAAAGGTTCTTAAGGCCAAACCTGACAACCCAAGTTGGATGCCTGGGACCCACCCATAGGCAGCAGCAGAGAACCGACCACTACCAAACTGACCTCTGACTTCCACATGCATATATGTACAAAATAGAGCAGTATTTTTTTTTTTTTTAAAGAAGGAAACAAAACAATGTCCTGACAGTGGTGGCCCCCACCTCTAATCCAGCACTCAAGAGGCAGAAGGAGAGGGATCTGTATTTGAGGTCAGTCTGGTCTACAAAGTGAATTCCAGAATAGCCAGGACTGTTACATAGAGAAACTGTCTTGAAAAACAAAACAACAACAACAACAAAAACAACAACGAAGGAAACAAAAATGGACTGAATAGGTGGCTCAGTGTGTAAAGGGACTCGCCACACAAGCCTGCCTTGGGTTTGATCCTTGGAACCCACGTAAAAAGTTGAAGGCAGTAGCACACATCTGTCATGCCAGCTGCAGCGAGAGGCCTGGAAGCTCATGGGCTAGCTAGCCAAGAGACACATGTAGCAGAAACAAAGACTGATCCCCAAACAATTTGGGAGCCAGTGAGATGGCTTGTTGGGGTGAGGGGTGTTTGCTGTGCAAGCCTGGTGACCTGAGTTAGATCCTCCACAGAAAGTGGAAGGGGAGAACTGACTCTACAAGGCTGTCCTTCTGTCCTTCGACCTCCACATGCTGTGTGTGCCTTTGTGCTATGGCACATGCTCTGCACACACAATGCAATTAGAAAAAAAAGTTAATGGCCATCTAACCAAAAAACAAAAACCATGATTCGGTAAGACAGAACTGATTCCCAAAAGCTGTCTTGTAAATCCAGTTCCAGGGGATCTAATGTACTCTTCTGGCCTCCAGGGGTACTACATATGTGGAACACATAAACACACACAACACAAACCAGTGAGAAAGTTCACTGCAAGTTATCTTTCAAATAGTGAGAGCAGGGGCTGTGGAGATGGCTTAACATGTAAGTGCAATTGCTACCCAACCAGGAGCACCTCAGTTAAAATCCCAAGCATCCATGGGCCTGAAAAATCATGACCCATGAAAAATGGGCCTGGTCTCATAAAACACGCACACACACACAAAATAAGAAAACTATACCAGTAACAAATGAAAAGCACGTTTTTTTTTTTCCCCCCAGTCATAGCAAAATACATATATACATATTTATAAAGAAGGCATAAGCTATTTCCAATATTACATGGTTCTGTTTGCGAAATGCCTTTAAATGAGATTCGCCAGCCAAGAGAATAGAAAATCAGTTTCCCAAGAATAATGTTTCAAATAGAGTACATTTTCTTTTTTGTATTTTTGGTTGAAAGAGTCTTACAATGGAGCCCAGGCGGACTCACACTTGGGACCTAACAATCTTCCTGTCTCAGCTGCACGGGCCTTGGGCATTCATTACCACACAAATGTACTTCTGGCACATTTTTTCAAGAGGTAACTGCTAGCTGACTAGAGGTACCTTAATAAAGACCATGGCATCTTGATGTTCTTTCGATACTTGTATTCTTGGAACTAGTTGACTCTGTCTTTGGGCTAAAGCGTACTTAGGTTTGTAAGAACTCAGGCTGCACTCTGGCCACTTTCCGGAATTCTTTAGTGTGGGTCTTAGGGCACTGCATCTCACACCAGCTGATGGGAACCATCTGGACCCCTGAAGGAAAAAGAGAAAAGCTAGAGTTGGAGGTGGGGAATCCACATACTCTGCTGAGGCTCTTTTCAGCTAGATGCGAAGATGTGGTTCAGCTGCATAATGCTTGCTTAGCATCTGAAAGACCACTGGTTTCAGCCCCAGCATGAAGGGAAAAAGTTTCACCTGAGGAAAAAGAACCCTATTCTCTGACATTTAGGGGAATCATGCTATGCTTCCTAAACTGAGCTCTGTGCTGTTCAACAATGGAGACATGCTCTGAGAAATATGATTCCAGCACTGGGCAACACCAGAGTGTACTCACACACACCAACACAGCGACACCACTAGCTGACTAAATTATGTGGTGGTTTCTTGGGGGAGGCGGAAGAGGCAGGCTGGGGACTGGACCCGGGGCTGCACGAATGCTAAGGAAGTACTCTCCCACTGAGCTCCAGATTTAGCACTAGGCGTTGTAATTCTATGGGGCCACCATGGTATGTGATACCTATAATTGATCAAAATACTGTTTTCCACATCACATGTATGTGTACTCCTATTGCTTCCCAAACAACCATGGTTCCCCAGGAAATGGACTTGGGAGCAAGGCCAACTTACCTGACTCACTGTGGGCCACCACTACCCCTAACTCATTTTCCGCAGTGGTCAGCAGGTAATTGGACTGTGCATCACCCAGGGAGATCTACTCATACAGACGAGTGAAGGAAGATGAGAGGCTTTACATGTTGCTGCATTCCACCACTTCCACCCTTTTTTTTTTTTTTTTTAATACTTTTTTTGTGTTTGTTTTTCAAGACAGGATTTCTCTGTGTAGCTCTGGCTGTTCTGGAACTAGCTCTGTAGACCAGGCTGTTCTCTAACTCACAGATGGGCCTGCCTCTGCTTCCAGAGTACTAGGATTAAAGTTACGTGCCACCACCGACTGGCCACTTATGTATCCCAGGCCGGCCTTGAATTGATCCCCCTGCCTTCACCTCCCAAGTGCTAGGATTATATAATGTGCTACTGTGCCTGGATCCATTTCTTCTTTTGACAAAGAACCAGAAATCTGATGGAATAAAGGATACAACTTTGGCCAAAACTATGTCACCCGGGCGGAAACTCTTGTAAATTTCAACCTGCAACACACAAATGGAATAAAAGGTATGAATTAGGTCTACAGGAAATTATCAACCACCCCAGTAGAGTCAGGCTATTTTCTAATCCCAGGGAAGTGGTGCCATCATTATGTCAATTGAAAAGTATATTGTTCCAGTATCATCATATAAATGAAAGATTTGAATTTAGAAACTTGATCAGGGATCTTGACTTAGACAAAGGTAGTGTAATTAATTGAGCTGGGAAGACTGGGGAGTACCTGAAGAGCGAGAATAAATACCCAACTTCAAAGGCCAGCCTGGGCAATACAGCAAGAATAAAGTCTGTATGTGTGGGGCAAATATACACATGCCCATGGATATGCATTTGTGTTGAAGGCAGAGCGAACACCCGGTTGTCTTCCTTGGTGGCTCCCCACCTTATATTATTTTTTGACATGGTATCTCTCTAAGCACTGGCTGTTCTGAACTTTCTATGTAGACCAGATTGATCCTGAACTCAGAGAGACCTGCCTCCCTCTGCCTCTCAAGAGCTAGGATTAATGGCATGCACCAGTATGCCCAGTTCCATCTAGTTTTTTCAGACAGGGTCTCCTACTCAAGTGAACCTAAGCTCCAGGGAGCTTCCTGTCCCATAACCCCCATCCTAGCACTTGGGTTATTTGTGCCCCACTTTCTACCTGGTGGCTAGGGATCTAAACTCAGGTCCTTATGCTCACCCAGTAGACACTGGACCATCTCTCTAGCCTAATAATACCTTTTATTTATTTACTATTATTTTTGGACAGGATCTTTCTATGTAGCCTCAGTTAGCCCAGAACTTGTTACATAGACCAGGCTGGCCTTAAACACACAGAGGTTTATCTATACCTGCCTCTGTAATCTCAGTCCTGAAACTAAAGACATGTGCTACTATGGCTGGCTAATAATTTTAGTGATAATTAACAGCCTAACAATTTTGGTCAACTGAACGGAAAAAAAAAATTGCTGTATGGGAAGAAAGGGTCAGTGATCTGAATTTCGTATGTTGCAGCAAGAAATGTATTCAACTTCTTTAGATTCTACACTCTCATGGATTTCTGAAATTCCCTGGGATAATAATTCCTTCCTTGTTTGTTCTGAGACAAGGTCTCACTCTGTAGTTCTGGCTGGGCTGGAACTAATTATGAAGACTAGGCTGGCCTCAAACTCAAAGGTCTGCCTGTCTCTGCCTCCTGAGTGCTGGAGTTAAAGGTGAGCATTCACCACCACTCCTGCCTACCTACCTATCTATCTAATCTATCTATCTTGTCTCTTCCTTTCTTTCCCTTAGATTTATTTATCATAAATGTATGTATGTGTGCCCAAGTGTATGTATGTGTAGTGTATGTATGCAGGTATATTAGTGCAGGATAGAATAGATATCAGACCCCCCCAAAACTGGAATTACAGGGGTTTGAAAACCACTTCATAAATGCTGGGAACAGAACTTGGTGACCCGGGATAATAATTTCAAAGGAAATTTTTTTTTTTTTTTTTGAGACAGGGTTTCTCTGTCTAACAGCTCTGGCTGTCCTGAAACTCACTTTATAAACTATGCTGGCCTTGAACTGGCAGAGATTCGCCTGCCTCTACCTACCAAGTGCTGGGATGCACCACCACTACCTAGCTAAAGCAAAATTCTTAAAGTCATAGGAAAACAAAAACAGAAGAAAACCCCACAAAAACAAACACCCAAACCACCAATCATCAACCTTGTCTTTTTCAGTTGCTCGGATATCTTCCTTGCTATATTAAAAAAAAAAAAAAAAAAAGAAAGAAAGAAAGAAAAGAAAAGAAAAAAAGGAAGATTAGTTATCTGTGGGAAAAAAATTACCCATTGATTCCTAGGAAATAATAAAAGCAGACAGAATAGGCCATACTGGGTCCCCAAATGTCACCAGGACAGAAGGTCATCTTTAGCATGCATAGTATAACATTTACCCTTCCTTGGACAATATAGAATTACAGTATTGACAACTCTTGACAATGGAAAAGCATATCAGAAATTCAAAGGTCATTCGTGGCTACATATGGAATGTAAGGATAGGCTGACTATAGGCCTTCTGTCAAAAACAAACAGAAAAACCACCTGTCCTACAATAATTACATAATCATTTCTTTTCAACGAAGCCATACAACAATCTACCATTTCACCCACAAACTTCTATAAGATTTATTTTACTTTTTTCGTATGAATGTTTTGCCTGTGGGCATATATGTGCACCACATACATGCCTGTTTGGTCCCCCAGAACTGGAGTTACCATATGGGTGCTGGGAATTGAACCTGGCAACATGTACTGCTGAGCTATCTCTCCAGCCCCTCCACAAAGATTTCTTATGACCTTTGGGTTTAATCAATATTAAAGAATAAGAATTATGTCATAGTGTACATCTTTAATTCTAACTCACGGGAAGCAGAGGCAGGCAAATTTTTGAGTTCAAATCTAGCCAGGACTAAATATTAAAATAAAAACAAAGCTGGGTGGTGGCGGCGGTGCACGCCTTTGGTCCCAGCACTCGTGAGGCAGAAGCAGGTAGATCTCTGTGAGTTCAAGATCAGCCTGGTCTACAGAGCGAGTGCCAGGAGAGGCTCCAAAGCTACACAGAGAAACCCTGTCTCAAAAAAACCAAAAACAAACAAACAAACAAAAAACAAGCAAACAAAAAAAGGTGGGTGGGCCAGATGGCTGAGGGCTAAAGATGCTTGATGTCTAAGTCTGAGGACCAGCTAAGTTTCCACATCAAGGTTGAAGGAGGGAACTGACCTCACAAAGTTGTTCTGACCTTTACACGTATGCTGCGGTACATACACATTGAACAAAATAGTAAGAAAAAAGCACACGAAGGCACTTCCCCAGGGGCTTCTAGTTTGTTTGGTTTGGCTCATCCTGACACTGCTAGCCCATGGCTTTCTTTTTTTTTTTTGGTTTTTCGAGACAGGGTTTCTCTGTGTAGCTTTGGAGCCTCTCCTGGCACTTGCTCTGGAGACCAGGCTGGCCTCGAACTCATAGAGATCCACCTGCCTCTGCCTCCGGAGTGCTGGGATTAAAGGCGTGTGCCACCAATGCCTGGTGCCCACGGCTTTCTTAAGTTCTTTTTGAGACAGGACCTCACACAGCCCAGGCTGGCCTTGAACTTGCTATATAGCCAACAATTATCTTCAACTTCTCATCCTCTTGCCTTGAGCTCTGAGTGATGTGACTACATGCAAGTTTCCCCACATCTGAATCTTGTTATTCTTGAGGATCTAATCTAGGGCTTCTCCATCAACTGAGATATATCTGCCTCCCTTGCTTTATTTAAAAATCCTCTTTTATTATAAACATTTTTCATTTCTTGTAGCTCATATAACATTTTCTCTGGACGTTCTACAGGGCAAAAAGCAAACACAAAGGAGAGACTAACGTGGGCAGGAAAAGGAACTGTAATTACTCCACAAATTCCAGTCCTGCCCACTATCCCTGCCTCACTCCAGGCGCAGAGGCAAACGGAAACACAAGTACCCCTCTTACCGGATAGTTCCTCGAAAAGCGTTTTTCAGTGGTGTGGACCCCACATACAAGATGTGGACTTTAGCAAAACGTGAGTTGATGCTAGAGACCTAGAGAACAGAGACTGGATCAGTATCAGAGGACCAGCAGCAGGGCATCCAAAGAACTACAGACTCTTGAGTGAAAGCATTAGTGGTGTGTGCCACCAAATCTGTCTTTCCTCCACCCCTTCTTTGGGACAGAGTATCACCATGTATGCCGCTTTCCTTCAGGACCCTTAGCTTCTTGAGCAACCTTAGAGGTATGTACTCATATACCCTGCCAGTAAAAACTTTCTTTTGATGACAGAAATGCCATTTCCCGGGGGGCTGGACAGATAGCTCAGCAGTTAAGAGTACTGGCAGCTCTTCTAGAAGACGTGGATTCAATTCCTAGTACCACATGACAGCTTATAATCATCTGTAACTCCAGTCCCAGTAGGTGCAACACCCCTTTCTCGCCTCTGGAGCATCAGGCACGCACATGACACAGACAAAATATCTACACACGTAAGACGGCAACAAAAAACAAAAAGGCAGCCCCCCAAAACCAAACAAACAAACAAAAAATTCCTAGAATTGAGGATGTACTTTAGGGGAGGGGCCTAACATATTTAAGGCCCTGGGTGCCATCACTTCCCCATATACCCCCAAAGTCATGTGTCAACCAATATGGCAGTTACTAACCACAGTTTGCTACTGAGTACTTAAAATGTGGCTAGTGTTGGGGTTGGGGGCTAGGGCACAGGGTCTCACTCTATAGCCCATTCTGGTCTGGTTCAATTCTCCTGCTGAGTGTCCCAAATACTGAGATTATAGATATGAATCATCATACCTGGCTGAAAATGAATCTTTCTTTCTTTCTTTTTAATTTTGAAGACTGGGTTTCTCTTTGTAGCCCTGGCTGTCTTGGAACTCAATATGTAGATCAGGCTGGCTTCAAGTATTCACCTGCCTCTGCCTCTTAAAGTTGTGAGCCATCATGCCCATCCCTGAGAATGAACTTTTAGTACTTACAAACTTAAATAGCCCCATATAGCTCCTAACTGCCACATTAAATAGTAGAACACAACAGCTGTAGAATTTTGGCCTAAGCACAAAGATTAGGATCAACTTACCTTACAGGTGACAACAGCTCCTACATCTGGAAGTAACTGTGACTCTGTTTCTCTCATCACAGATACCACAGGAAGCTTTGAAGAGAATAAAAAAGTCGATGTACCGGTTAAGTGTTGGGTACAGATGTCTTAGAACAGTGCATTCACAAGGGCGGGTAGACTAGAGATATATTTATAGCCCATAGAAGAGGACATTAGTGATTTTAGGGAAAAAAAAATTAGAAAACAAAGAGTATAAAGAGACCCTTAGAGTTAAGCTGCCATATTTAATATGAACATTTGATTAGTTCTAAATGTTTGAAGATGCTCTTGGAATTTCTTGGTATACCATCATATTGCTTATAATTATGGCTGTCTTGGCTCCTCCAAAGTTATTCTGCTTATTATTTTTCTTACTGCACAAGATAGGATTTACAATTAGATGCTATAGAATGGTAATTTTTGTTTATTCCATCGAAAGGGACAGTTTGCGTTTTCTCTTGCACAGGGCATAACTGAATCTTGTCTTTGAACAAGAAAAAGCAGCCTCTCTCTTCTTCTGTGCCATTTCCCTGCCTTACTAATTTCTTCCCATTTCAAATTTTTTTTTTTTTGGTTTTTCGAGACAGGGTTTCTCTGTGTAGCTTTGGAGCCTCTCCTGGCACTTGCTCTGGAGACCAGGCTGGCCTCGAACTCGCAGAGATCCGCCTGCCTCTGCCTCCTGAGTGCTGGGATTAAAGGCGTCCACCAACGCCGGGCTTTTAACCCATTCTTTATGTCAGAACTGCATTCTTTCCCTCCTCCCCCATCCACTGAAATACTATTTTCACTATCTAGAATAACGGACATAAAGCCCATTACATGTTCACTGCACTGTACAATTCTTTTGAAGATACCCATTGTTTATGATTTGTGTGTGCTTCCTTGGCAGCAAAAGCTAAGTAAGTGTATTTGGCTCTTGACTATATCCCCAGTAGCCAAAAATAGCAGCACTGTGCAGGACACATGAAAGTGCTCAAGAGAAATCTACGTAGAGAATAAACAGGCAGATGAAGTTTGTTTCCAAAACCAATCCACTGGAACCTGTTTTTACAAATAAGCAAGAACCCAAAGGTTTACCAGTCCCTAAAGAGTTTAGATTCTATCTTATTTTCTCAAGCAGTGTTGGAGATTGGATCTGTGGTCTTAACATGCTGGGCAGGCATCCTAAAGTTTTAACTCTTAATCTTCTTTCATCTTACAGTTATCACTTCTTTATCTGCTCCTGTTGGTAGCTGGGAATACAGTCGTGTATCACCATGCATGGCTACATTTAAAAGTCTAAATGGGCAAGAATCTATTGAGGTAAATGTAAAGAAGAGTAACATATTTAAGTAAGTCCTCTGGAGGAAGATTCTTGTGCTTAACAATCCTACTTCCACCCAAACCCCGTTTTTTCAATCAGTGGGTCCAGAAGGGCTTCACTGGAAAACAAAACAAAAACAAAACCCGACTAACTACTGAGGCTATTTAAAAGAGGTTATAGTTACGGGGTTTGAGCAGGAGTGTGCTCCAGATAGACTGCACGTGCATAGGCTTCCAGGCAGGAGAGAGCTTAGGGCATGAGGACGCTGAGAATCGCCAACATTGCACTGATGTCACTGAGGTGGGGACAGCACAGCCACTTCAAGGTGTAGGGATAGTCGAGATGCACGACCGGAAGAAGCTCTCTGCTGACTGGGATACTCTTAATTTGCACCTGCTCCCCCCACCCCATGCCCTTCTGCGAGTGAGTCCACCACCAAGCCAGATTAACATAACGGGTGTGGGGCGGCTGTGCTTAGGCACAGCGTTGGGATCACAGCTGGGAGGAATCCAGAGATCAAAGCGTTCTGCTGCTGAGGCGTCCGGCGTGCCTGTGCCCAAGGACCAGAACCCAGTGGCTGCCTGAGGGAGAACGCGCGCTGGGTAGCCGCTGCCTTTACCGCGCCATTCTCGCTGGTCTTCGTCAGGCAGCCCGCCAGCGACGAAAAGATGTAGCCGTGCCGGGTGTAGGTGCCGCTACCGGGGCTGCCTTCCTCCAGGTTGCACAGACGTTCGCCTGCAGAGGAAATGCCGCATCAGCCACCGGCACCCAGAAGCTGGCTGTTGCGCAGCACGGGACTGCGTGCGGAGACCGATCACTTACCGGGGATGCAGTATCTCACAGGTGGCGCCATGCTTGCCCCTGTCCAAAACCCGGATGGAAACGAAGCCGCGTGTTCATTGGCCAGCTAGAGGCGCGGCCCCGCAGCAACACGTGCAGCAATTGGCGCCTTTGACCGCGCGAGGCGAGAGCGAGGCCTGACTCCATTTCCCAGGATGCCCCGGGACAGTTCTCCGGGCTCGCCTTTGCGGGCTCCGGGACTCGCGCCTGCGCAGCTGGGTGATGGTGGGCGGGCGGCGGGACCCTGTCCGCTGGCTGGCGCTCCGGGCTGCGGGCTATGGTGGCTCAGCCTGAGATCGGCCCGGCCCGGGTCCCGAGCCCGAGCGGGAGGCACTGAGACGCGGGCAGGGCGACTGGGCTGAATTTGGCTGGTTGAGAAGCTGGCAGGGGCAGGTAAGGGCGAAGCGCGATGCTTGCGTCCCACTCGAGTGTCAGGTGTCCAGGCCTTTAAGTTCAAGTTCCTGTTCTCCGCACTCCCCCCGTCCTGCGTGACTGCCCTCCTGAGTCCGCGCGCACCTCAGCTCCAATCTGTCGCTCCAGCATACCCCTTTCATGGGTTTGGAGACTCCGAGACAAGGTTTGGTTTGTCCAAAGTCTCGAAGATAATTCGAGACAGCCCGAGCGTAAGCCTATTTTTTGACCTATTTTGATCATAGTTGGACTCCGCTGCTCTTGGAGACAACCTTTTTCTGGTTTTGTAAAACCGCAGATACTTCTCTTGCAGGCAGATAATTTAGAGTGTGAACCCCTCCTTAACTGTGAATGAGCAGCTCGACATTAGTATTACCACTCATTTTGCTTTCTTTTTTTTCCATGTTAGCCGGGAAGGAAGCCTTCATAAATAGAATTTAGTTTGTGTCTTTACATCAGCTTGAGGTGGCAAAGGTCAGGGGAGGAACATTTTTTGTGCAGATGAAAATTGCCATGACTTTGATGGCAGTTTCTTATGTTGGCTTTGGAATTTATTCCTTCCTCCCCTTCCCTCTCTGCCAGTCGGGCATCTTTGGGACACAGATGGTGATTTAGGGAGTGCTGTTGCCTGCTAATCTCTGATCTAGTGGCAGATGGCCACTGTGGCCTGTGGGTACTACTGAGGGGTGGCATCACCAAGGGTTTGAAGGAACTGTTCTTGCCTGTTCACTGTGAGCATGCCCTCTTGCCACACTTAGCTTTAAAACTTTTGTCTATTCTGTATTTCCTGCGGGAAAACTTCTGTTTCACGTTTGGCCTATGGACAACACGTCTTTTCCTAGCACCCTCCTATCCACATATCCCACTGGCTAAAGTGAGGATGGGCCTGGTCTCACATTCTGTTCACTTAGTTGATCTCATCTGCAGGCTTTCAGTTTTACATGTTTGGTGTCTGGTGTGACTTGGCCTCTAAAATGTTACTGTTCTTTAGTGCTGCAGTTCTAATAATGGTTCTGTTTCTTTACTAATCAGAAAGAATGAGAGCAGCAAATACTTCTGTGTCATTGCATGGGCAAGAGTGTCCTTGGCTTCTGTAGAGCCGAGCAGCTTTCCAGTTTTGCGTCTCTCCAGGTCATTCATTCAACAACAGGTATGTATTGACTGCTTCTAAGAGCCAGGTATTATGCTAAGATGTTTATAAGCACCTGATTTAAATGTTGGTCATACACATACATATAAACTTATATGTATATGTGCAGACATGTATTGTATGTATAAAAATATTAAGGTTTGGGCTGGGCATGGTGGTGCACACCTTTAATCCTAGCACTTGGGAGGCAAAGGCAGGTAGATCTCTGTGAGTTTCAGTTCCAGGACAGCCTGGTCTACAAAGTGAGTTCCAGGACAGCCAGGGCTGTTACATAGAGGAACCTTGTCTCAAAAAGCAAAACAACAACAAAAAATTAAAATTTAGAGAAGGAGGGTACTGGACTGCTTAGGGAAGGAATTGAACCCTAAATAGGGTATAAATAGATGAGATTGGTCAGTTGAGCCTTTGGAGTAGGCATTTCATACAGAACCAAGAATGCAGAAGATACTGGGTGTTGGTGGAGCATACCTTTAATCCCAGCACTTGGGAGGCAGAGGCAGGTGGATCTCGGTGAGTTTGAGGCCAGCCTGGTCTACAGATTGTATTCCAGGACAGTCTCCAAAGCAATGCAAAGAAACATTGTCTAGAAAAACAAAACAAAACAAAATGCAGAAGATGACTGACAATCTGATTTTTAAATTTTTTTTTAATATTTTTAAAGACTTATTTATTATGTAAATGATTTTCTGCCTGCACACCAGAAGAATACACCAGATCTCAGAGATGGTTGTGAGCCACCATGTGGTTTCTGGGAATTGAACTCAGGACCTCTGGAAAAGCAGCCAGTGCTCTTAACCTCTGATCCATTTCTCCAGCCTGATATTTTGTTTCTGTAAGACCATGGTTTCATGTATCTCATGCTGGCCCCTCATTGGCTGTGTAGCCAAGGATGATTTTGACCTTCTGATCCTCTTGCCTCCAGGTAGACATATACCATCATACTCAGTTTTGTGGGGCAGTAAGCTCCATCCTACTCTTACACTTGGTTGTGGCCAGCGACAAAATTCATGATTTTCCAGATCATGATTCTAAGTAATAGCAGTCCAACTCAGATGGTGTAAGTATGATGTTTTCAGTTTTTTTCTTTCCTTTTTTCTTTTTTTTGTTTTTGTTTTTGTTTTTTGGAAACAGGGTTTCTCTGTGTGGCCCTGGCTACTCTGGAACTGGCTCTGTAGAGTAGGCTGCCTCTGCCTCCTGAGTGCAGGGATTAAAGGTATGTACCACCACCACCACCAGCCTCTGTTTTTCTTTTCTACGTTTCCTGTTAATTCTTTCAGCTTCTTAGGAAGTGATGGAAAGGCTAGTTTCTTACCCTGGTGCAGTGTCTGTCCGTCTCTCCCACTAAGCTTCAATTTTCTTGTAGAACTTTTTGCAGGGTTTCCTTTCACCTTTGGGTTTCTAACTTGTGGAAGGAGATAATTAATTATTTTCTTTGAAAAGCCTTTTGTGGAATTGAACCAGGGTGCAAGGAGAGTACATTACTCCAGTTACTGAACCGAAAGCCATCCCCACAGCAGAGTAACCGCCTCCAGTTTCTGCTGTGTTATGAGCCACCTGTTAAATAAGTCATTGGGGTTACTGAAGACAAAGCAGTATTCCCTGTTTAGCATTCAGACATTTTTACACAGGTAATGAGACCATCATGGAAAGTCTGTTGGAGTCTCTGTGTCCACAGTTGTGTTCGTTGTTTAGGCAGAGTACAGAGATGGTGGCACATCCAAAGGAGCCATGGAGAGTGCTGAGACCCTTAGCCAGCAGGATGCTTGGGAAGCTTGGGGCCAGAGCATCAGTCACAGAAGCGGTGCCTTATCAGAGAAGACCTTGAAAAGCTCCCAAGGGGGCAGATTCCTCCAACACTTGTCTTATGCTCTGAAAACCTGGTTACCTTGGCTGCTATAACCCTGGGTTGGGGCTGTGAGTGGAACTGGAGACAAAGTATCTAATGTCATGCAAGTGGTAGCTGACTGTCCTAACAGGGAACAAAGAATCATGCCATCTACCTGACCTATAACCTCAGCCCAGATGGAGTAGGAGAACTTGGATAGGACCAGGAGAGTTCTAGATACAGGATCCTGTATAGTACAGAACAAGTAGGAGATCCTGGGAACCCTCAGCCTCAGTGTCTTGGTAAGATAGAATGGCAGCTTTGTTTATGTTAGTTAAGCTTTGCTCCATGGTCTGTCTGGATAGATATCTCAAAAAACACAAAACAAAACAAAACAAAAAACCCAACAACAGGGAGCTGGGGCAATGACTTTGCTGTTGAAGTATTTGCTCTACAAGCATGGTGAACTAAGTTTGATCCCATAGAACTCATGTAAAAAGACAAGTCCGTCTGTTTCTAATCTTGGTGCTGAAGAGGAAGAAACTGGATCTCTGAAGCTTGTATAGCCAAATTCCACATCCAGGAGTGCCCACAGATGGAATACTGGGTGCTTGCTCACCTGCCTTACTGGGATTCCCTATGTTTAGTGTTTAATGTTCAGCTGAAAGTATTCATGTTAGGAACAAATGACTATTATTTTTAAATATTTTTGGCCATTTTAAACTGTCTTTTGGTTCAGACTATTTCCAAGCTAATAAAATCACATTGCATAGAAAAAGAAAAAAGAAAAAGAAAAAGCTGGGGGCTGGAGAGATGGCTCAGAGGTTAAGCCATCTGACTGCTCTTCCAGCGGACCTGGGTTCAATTCCCAGCACCCATATGGCAGCTCACAACTGTCTGTAACTCGAGTTCCAGGGGATCTGATACCTTCACACCAATGCACATAAAATAAAGTTAAATAAATTATTTAAAAAAAAAACAACAACAGTGTATGTTTGTGCTAGGGATGGGTGTAGCAGGTACCTGAAAAGATAGATGGCTCATCAGTTAAGAACTTTTGCTGTTTATTATTATTACTGTTGTTATTTTGGTTTTATGGTACAGGGTTTCTCTGTGTAGTCCTGCCTGTCCTGGAACTTGCCCTGTAGACCAGGTTAGCCTTTAACTTAGAAATCACCTGCTTCTGCTTCCTGAGTGCTGGGATTAAAGGCACATGTCACCATGCCCAGGTGAATACTTGCTGTTCTTATAGAAGGCTCAGCACATACATGGCAACTCACAGCCATCTGTAACTTTAGCTCCAAGGGATATGACACCCTCTTCTGGCCTCTGGGCACACACATGGTACACAATACAGACATGCAGGCAAGCATTCATTAAAAAAAAAAAAAAAAAAAAAAAAAAAAAAGGGGGAAAGAAAAGAGAGGAGAATGACTAGAGAAGGGATACCCAATGCCCACTTCTGGTCTGCACACACCAAAGGACTCCTTTGAGTTGGAGCCAACTACTTTTTCCTTTACTGTGGCCCCTCAGGTGTGAACTACCTGGGATTCACTGCATAATTGTGTAGTGTAATTTAAGTACTGCTTTTGTAGGCTCAGAACTTTCAGTCCCTACCTCCTGTACTATGGTTGGAACAGTGACACTGGAAATTCTGTAGAAAGGTGACCTTTTTCTCTTTCCACAGCTGATGACTAGCCTAATTGGCCTTAGTCTTGAGAAGTCCTCTAAAT